GATTCGTGCTCTGTCCATTGGTGCTCATCGTGTTCTCTCCATTGGTGCTCATCGTGTTCTCTCCATTGGTGCTCATCGTGTTCTCTCCATCGTGCTCATCGAGGATCCGTGCTTTTCTTTGGAGCACGACCAGGTGCTCATTGTGGATCGTGCTTTTCGTCACTCATCGTGGATCTGTGCTTTTGGTCACGTGCTGACCGTGGATCCGTGCTTTTCGTGCTCATCATCGCGGATTCGTGCGGGAACTTTGGTGCATGATAACGTGCTCATCTTCGATCCGTGCTTTTGGTGGTCGGTGCTCATCGTGCTTGGTGCTCATCGTGGATACGTGCTTTTCATGCTCATCGTCGATCCGTGCTTTGCGTGCCATCGTGGATACGTGGTTTTCATGCTCATCGTCGATCCGTGCTTTTCGTGCCATCGTGGATACGTGCTTTTCATGCTCATCGTCGATCCATGCTTTTCGTGCCATCGTGGATACGTGCTTTTCATGCTTATCGGCGATCCGTGCTTTTCATGCTCATCATTGATCCGTGCTTTTCGTGTTCATCGTTGATACGTGCTTTTCATGCTCATCATTGATCCGTGCTTTTCGTGTTCATCATTGATACGTGCTTTTCATGCTCATCATTGATCCGTGCTTTTCGTGCTCATCGTTGATACGTGCTTTTCGTTCCGTGCTTTTCATGCTCGGTGATCGCCGTGGATGCGTGCTCATCTTGAATCCATCCTGACGTGCTCATCGTGAATCCATCCACCGGTGATCACCGTGGATGCGTGCTTTTCATGCTCGGTGCTCATCGTGAATCCATCCAGACGTGCTCATCATTGATCCGTGATTTTCATGCTCATCCAGACATGGTCACCGTGGATGCGTGCTCATCGTGAATCCATCCAGACGTGCTTTTGGTGCTTATCATCGGCCCTCCCTTCTTCCTCTCTTTCACCTTCCTTCTTCCCTCTGTCGCCTTTGCGCTCCTTCCTCTGGCGGCGTTACCTTCCTCGGCCCTCTGTCCTCCCTCCCTTCGTGCTACCTTATCTGGGAATGATGTAGAGAGTGCACTCCCGGTTTTCTTAGCTTTCTCAATTTGCATTAAGGCTTAGCGCCACATTTTTTTCCCAATGTGAATAAGGGCGAGCGTGTCGCGCGTGCGGTTGCGCACAGACGCACACAGCGAGAGGTGTGGATGGATAGCGCGTG